TTGCCATAAAAATTAGTACTACATATCAAAAAATTATTCAACTTTCTATCGCTGTAAATTTCAAAAAGAAGTATTTTTTAAATGAGCTGATCCTCGAATGCAGGCGATACTTTTTTGTTGCGTTTAACATTTCCGGTTGTTTACGGTTTTTAACAACACGTGTCCTTCGTTATTAGACGAGTAATTTCATCTGTGACATCGCTATCGTTCCAAATAATGCAAATCAAATCNAAAACGAGACATCAATTACTATGATACCACAGATTTTATCAATTAAAAGTAATACAATCAGCTTATAACAATGGGATAAACAAAAGACGTAAGAACACTTATCGAGATTGGTTTGTTTTCACACCAATTTCTGCATCTAACGAAGCGGTATCGACGCCATCTTGCTTTGTCAAAATTGAGATAGGTGGCGCTCGCTATCTGCTCCGGAATCAGGGGGAGGTAAGTCTAGATTGACGTGTCATAAAATTGGTAAGACAGAGAGGGAGTTGCTAATCCCCTTCACTATACGTCCCTGGCTAGGCTGACCTATGTACCATTCCCCTTGACTCCTGGCGTATCGGTGATGCGATTATAGCAGAGCAGCGCCTGACTTCAAAGTCAGTCAATTTTACCGTTACCAGGGACAGTATATTATACGTCCCTGCCGTTACGCAACCAAAAGAGATTCTAATTATGTACATCAAATGATTAAACTTGTCTTCTCATCTCATCCTCGAATGGCATGGTATGTTCCAGGGTGTACAGAGCGAAAGTGAGCGTTATCCGTAGAGTATCGAGGATGCGAGGATGAGCGAACATACATTTGAAAAAAAATCGCATCATGTTCCCCGATCGGACGTGAAACGATTCGGGGTTACATGTCCGACTACGTGGGTTTCCTCCGGGTCCTCCAGTTATGATTATGAGTAGTCTGCGTTAGATCTGATTAGAAAAATAAACTTTTGTAGTTTCTATTGAAAATATCGTTCACCAAACATTTCATATATAAATGGCATTACAGCAAATGGGTAAAGTGTACGTGTCATGTTTTGTTATTGTTTAGAGGTTACTGTTTTGACATATAGCACAAACACGGATTTGTTTCTGTCTAAAGACGAGCACAACTAAATCAGCCAATCAGCAAGTGTTTCATATTGTAATCCCTACCTAAGATTTGGTCCGGTTAAATACAGTGCCTCTGAGTAATTTAGATAGGTAATTATTGACATATTTTACATTTAATGCAATGCAGATACAGATATTGAACTTCAGAAAAACGTATAGTTTTAGTATATTTTAATATGCGCTGGCGGATTGATTTGGGGTCAAAAGTCAAGGAGTGTTCCCGTCCAACTTCACCGGTTTGGCTTGTGAACTTCCGATTGTCAAAAGCAGACGCCTGTACCGATCGTATATGCCACTTGACCCACCAAAAAATGCCTTTTGAAGCCTTCGTCAGGTTGTATATGTGAGTCTAGACAGTTGCCACTGGTGTTGAATTTCAAATATAAATGCTATTAGATCAAAAGCTTAGCAATAACATGTAGTAAACGATTTAGTTGTGTAAGCCCTTTAAGGTGGCTCCACACATCGTCATCAGCGTCCATTTTCGTTACGCACTTCCGAAAAAAGTACAGCTCGGACTCAATTATCTTGATCGAAATGTGCATGTTCACCGTGTCGTCATTTCCGTATTGCGTATCGGGCATTCAATATCGTAGTGCAAATTATAGTTACACCTTGCCGTTTTCGTTTAAACGGTCAAACCGATCGGACCACTGTTGTTCGTTTATTAAATAAGGTCGGCCCTAGTAATCTGATGCTGCTTTCAGGCGAGCCGTGAGAAAGCCTTGCAAGGCCTGCCTACACATTTGCAGGTCCGCCAGGATTTATACCCGAAATTGTTACATTTATAAACAAACAGGCCACTGGAAAACAATAGTACACGTGCGTGCCGATGATATGTTAACACCCGATACCGAGATTTTACCGGAAACTGTATAATCACACGTATTTCAGGAATAAAGCTTTCAAATTCATAGACATAAACAGACTCACGGGAAGACAGTGACATGAGACCAAACGACCTCAAGAAGGTCATATAGGAAACGCATGGAATGCGGACGTACCAACCTCACATGTGCAACACGAGTTCATAAGCTCGAGGTCGTTACGATTTTCGCTGTTGAGGGAGTTTCGCTCTGTCGATTAAATCGTGTTAACAAATGAAGTCTACTTACTCTGTGAAAATAATGTTTTGTAAAATATCAAGATACCTATAAAATGCATGTGTGAGTGCACGTGAGAACGGCATACCATGCGATAGCCTCTGGTCACATATGTACCTGACATGTAATTATAAATATACCGTGAGTTAGCGGACTGTGGAATGATGTCCAAAGTGTACATGACAGAGGGTAATTTGGTTTCATTAAAGAACGATAAATTGCTAATTTTGATATCATATTTTTGATTTATTTCCATCATTTTTGTTATATGTAAACAGGGACAACTGTCATTGTAAAAATGTCACCCCTCTGCAAAAAGTTCCGATTTTTTTCAAGGAAGATAACTCTAACCCGGTTCGAAGTGATTGTAAAATGTAAAATAAATTTATTATAAAGCCATTGTGTATATTTTGTTCAATTTCCCATATCTTTGTGTCCTTTTGGCTTTTAGCTTGTAGATAATCACTTTTATCCGTACAAATTCAATAAAAAAAACCACTTTGTGTAACATGTGTTACATATTTTGCGATAAATAAAATATTTGTAGAGTTAGTTAGAAATGCTTCTTTTCATTTTATTATTGTTGTTATTGTTCCGAACAATGTCACAAACAAACAAAAAACAGAAAATATTACAATTGACGAAAATTCAATTTTTTGGTATTTTTTCCAAAAATGTCCCCAAACTATCGGAGTGTTTAGATTTTCATAAAATTAACTCTACATAGTTGCATAACCATTATATGAAAGTTTCAACGAATTTTGCTGGTTAATTACGAAAGTGTGGAGCCACCTTAAGTCCAGACTGGGTTTTTTTGTGGACGCTACTACCCATGATTGCGTGTCGGACATTCTTAGCTAATGGTGTTCGTATAGCGTGGCAGTGTGATTCCATTGTTTGAAACGATATCTAGTGTGACGATACTGAAATTACCAGGTCGTATCTCAAACTTAAGACTATTTCGATATTTCCTTTTTGGAAAAAAAACCCGTGTCAAAACTAATAGTTACTGTATATGCGTGACATTAACAAATTAAGGCTAAATAAACAGTGCAAGTGTTTTTAACGTTGTTGTAACGAACAGCATCTATTCTCACGGTGTTATACATATTGTGAAAGTGAAAGTCGTGTTGTAAAACGTTCAAATATATATTTATTTCCCTCGATAAAGCAGACATAAAAAATACGAAAAATGGTTTATAGTGTCAGTCACAATAAAAAGTTTTCATAAATCTACTATTAAAAATTCCTAATCGCATTGAGATTTTTCTACTAAGAGCAATCTAAACAGAAAGGAAATGCATCAAAAAGTATTTGTTAGATAATATTTTCTGAAATAAATCCAAACGTTTTTTAAAAAAACGCTTCAATTTGTAAATGTCCTACATATGATCAGAGAGAATCGTATAATGTTGATAATTGGACGAGTTTGGTAAAGTCATTGTTTTTCACTTGTGGGTTTATTAATGTATGGTATCTTCAGGCAGAAGACGGCACAAATGTTTCTTGTGTAAATTTAAATTGAGAGTAAGTGACGCTTGCGCACTAAACTGTAATACTGAGCTTAGCGATTCGATCCCAGCTAAGTTGTACGTACAATTGCCTATGATTATACACTTACTTGATTTTAATAGGATAACAATTCAGGATTTCACCTGTCCGAAGTTCACAAAGAATATTTATCTCGTTATAACAAGAAAGAGTGTCGTTATAACGACTTAGCATCCCGTTATAACGACTTAGTATCCCGTTATAACGATTTAATATCTCGTTATGACGACTTAGTATCCCGTTATAACGACTTAGTATCCTGTTATAACGACTTAGTATCTCGTTATGACGACTTAGTATCTCGTTATGACGACTTAGTATCCCTTTATAACGACTTAGTATCCCGTTATAATGACTTAACGTTAGTATCTCGTTATATATAACGATTTAGTCTCTCGTTATAACGACTTAGCATCCCGTTATAACGACTTAGTATCCCGTTATAACGACTTAGTATCTCGTTATGACGACTTAGTATCCCTTTATAACGACTTAGTATCCCGTTATAATGACTTAACGTTAGTATCTCGTTATATATAACGATTTAGTCTCTCGTTATAACGAGATAACTATCTCCCTGATTGAGGACACCCAAACAGTAATTTGTATCTCGATATAACGAGTTAGTATATCGTTATCTCGACTTAACATCTCATTATAACGCGTTAATGTCTTGTTATAGCGAGTAAGAATCTCGTTATAACGATATATAATTAGTATTTGGATCTCCTCAATCAGCCACTCTAGTTTTCATATTCATGTGGTGGTAATAATTATCGATTTATTACATGTAAAAAGAAAGAGTTAACGTAAACTTTAGATACACTGTAGTTTACATTATTCAGAGTATTAAGGTCGCCTTCTAGCTTCGAGCTAGAGGGATTTTCCCTTTAGCTCAGTGGTAGAGCATCCGACAAGGAACCTTGAGATCGAGGGGTACGATCTCCGGTGGAAGCACATTATTCTCTTAGTCTTTCCTGTTACAAATGGTGTCCGTGGCACTCCCTGTGGTGACAGGGAGTTAGAACCTGGGTTTTGGTGTTCGAGGACGAACCATGGTCAGATACGTTACTGTAAATAAACTTACCACCTTATGTTGCCGAAGTCTTCTTTGTTTCTCAATACATAAACGCTGATGCAGTGTCCTCTGCTAAAGCAGTCCGAGGTATACCGTGTTAGAGGATGGTAGAGGAAAACCGTGAAATATACCAGATATGTCCCAACACTCACCTGCCTCGATCCGTTAGTGGGCTGGGTCCGGGTTGCCCCACCTGTGGTATATTAACGTCAACAACTCTCATTTACTACACACTCCGTTTATAAAGGAAACCCTAGCATGCGTGTCGCGTTGAATACAGTTCAGTGTTGTTATGTGCGTTAGATATTGTTTATTGTTATTTTGGTAGCATGGTTAATTATTATTCGGTGTTTTTCGTCGTGTGTCACTTTGTTCCCATAATTATAACGTATAACGTTACAATGGGATTAGTGAAAGCAAATAACTTAAAAACTTTTTACACGGTATATGTGGATAGTGTGTGCGACTTGTTAAGCTGACAATGCTTGGATTATCTGGTCAGTTTATGTGTGTCGTCCCGTTGGTCAGTAGTTATATTTGTGACCCGGTGTACCTGTAAATAGCCCTACTAGCCTGCGGCATTTTAGACTAGTCGCCCACTAGTCAGTACCAATTGTCGTTCTACTGGCCAATTTGTACAATTGAGTCAGCAGTTTATTTGTAATACGGTGTACAATGTACCCGTGCTTTCATTTTATATAAAAGAGTTGTACTTTTTGATACATACAATTACCTACGCTTAATTACTTTTTTTTTATACACAAACGAATTGCCACCGGGCCATGATACAGAGAGACTGTGCCGGAGATGACACGATAAATCCCTAATGGGTAGCGCCAAAATGGCATGTATGCAATCCATTGTCAGTACAGTGCTTCTACGATAGGAAACAAAATGACTTGAATGATAGTTCATCCATGCCCTTATAGTATCATTTTGTACACCCGAGTCCAGTTTTGAAGCTAACCAAGACAGCCTTTTCTCTCACTTTTGTGACCCCTACGCTGATTGGTTTGTCAAATTAGAAGCCAAATATATATAGGTGTATTGACAGACAAGGCAAGTCGTTTGCTGGTAACCTAAATACTCGATATAGAAGTGGACGTAAAACCACTCAAACAAACAAGACGAGACAAGTACATGTGTAGCTGTGATCAAAGTTAGATTTATAAACATCCAGAAGAAAAACTTTCCATTGCATAATTACAGATGTTGGCAGTGTTATAATAATCCTTAATCTTGCCAAACTTTTTTTTTAATTGGTTCTGTTTAAATCAAATATTGTGACCATCCAGCAGTCTTTAGTCCTTGTTAGTCCTGTGTTAAGTTCACTCTCTTCTCTTTAATCTTCTTCAATACTCCAGGGTCTACGGTCACGTACGCTCTCTGTTCTCCTGGGCTATGTCGTGGCGAAATTTAAGGCCCAGCGTGCACAACGTTGTGAATAAAACGAGAAGACGTGTTTAATCCTTTGAATAACATCAGAAGAATCTCGCGGTCGTGAAACGGTACAATAGATTAGAATTGAAGCCGGTTGTCACTCCTTTTTAATCTTCAAGTGGCAGGTTTCTTTTAGCGAGACAAATCAAATAGGTAGCCGCGTGTCTTCAATTTTGCTATGGCATGTTCCAGGGGTGCAGAGAGCGAAAATGAGCATTACTCCTTGAGTATCGAGTATGCTCTTTAATAAGACAAACCAAAGTGTTTGAGTGATGAAAAATATCAAAATCTAACCATTTTTTTTTTTTTATATATATATATATTTTATTAGCAAGCCCACAATATCCACTTACTGCATATTTCTCTTTCAATTGAGAACAGAACACATACCAATACTAATTGTTTACACTTGCTGTCACTACAGGGTATGGGATGGAACCAATGACATTGAAGTGGAACGTCCAGCATTACTGAAACACCAAATTCAGGAACACTTGAGACTCAAACATTGAATATTTATTCATGTATGTCTCTTTTATTGTCGACCCGTTTTAAGTAAATCTATAACAGCATTTGACCAGGAAAGTCTGAACTGAAAGGATGTTGACTGTCAAATCTGGGCTGAAGGATGTTGGCTGTCCAGGTTTTAACTCTCGTCCAACTCTCGTTTAACTCTCGTTTTGATGTTATATGGTACATACAGTCATATCTATGATGGGGGTTTACAATATGATCGATTTCGATAATAAGCATTATTCAATTAAACATGTCATTAAAAACAGATGTCGATTGCTTCGCCTTGATTTTAAAGAGTCTCTATGGTGCAACCCAGGTTCAATGGGGGTACCCGCCTGTTCCGTCCTGTTATTACTAGTGTTCAATATAAGACGAGGAGGCAGATATCAAATACTATACAACATTTATTTACACACCACAAGCGAAGGTAGACACGGTCAATTGTGCACAAATTAGAACACGTACAATATATATATCACGTACAAAAATCTGTTGAAAACACAATTGTATATACCGGAGCTAGACACATCCTACACCTGCCTTAGCCTACATGTAATATAAACCCGCCATCCCGCAGTCACCGTCCTACACCTAACGTAAAGNAGAGAGAGAGAGAGAGAGAGAGAGAGAGAGAGAGAGAGAGAGAGAGAGGAAGAAGAAAAGAATGAGCCTTCCAGCCAATGGCTTCTATAGAGTAACGTAAGATACCCGACCACCCGATCTTATACCAAACAGACCCAACAGAATCCCTTGCTATGCATGATCTGGACCTAATTAAATACTTTAACAGCTATCCAATGAACCGTTTAAGCATCAACCAATGGAAACAGTTATATGAGCGGACGTAGGTATGCGTCTATACCCGGTAAAAAGACAAGAAATGTCATCATGTTATGGCGCACAAGACAAATTAGTACAATGTAACGTATGGCAGACTACCAACACTCAAACAGCCGGCAAATATATGCACAAGGTATGCTTATACGTTTACAGAGCGCAAAATACATAATTGTAAATGAATAACAGTGAACAAATTCCATTCCCGCTATAGTACATTCATTTTTTTTCTCAATAAAATATTGTAATTGTGTAATTCAGCACATATTACCCGTCCCTCTGACTGCATGTAGTATGCCAGTGCTATTCGGCGAAATGTGTCGATATTATTCTGACAGCTGACTTAACTGACTCGGCGCATTTCGGCTTAGTAAGTTGTTTGCAGCGGTTTAGAGTCGAGTCACCGGTCAGTTGCACTCGTTGCTTGACAAAGGAAACAGACGTTTTCGAAAGCTCGCAAAATATTTCAATTTCTGTTCGTGTTCAAAACAAAATAAGCATTTATTAACCACACCAAACTGATAAATCTCATTCTGAATGTTTTAGATAAGTAAATCATGATACAGTTTGTTCCATAGTGATGAAAAAAGATACAGCTCAATTTGTATTTGACACTAAAATTAGGGTAGCCTTTTCATATCTCATAGTCTGGAATAGGGAACCGGACTTGTTCAAGCAGAATAGCGGAGAAAAGATGCAAACAGATCTATACCTTCTTTGCTGTTTTCAGGAAGAACACTTGTTCACCATTGATAGGGATTGGACTAAACTTTAGAAAAAGATAATTCTTAAATTTCAGGTTTTGCCATGGTTAAGGGTAACATCGTTTTGCTTAAAATAAAAATGAAATTCCTGGAAAATATGTTATTCCAAGGAATTATCCCATGATCTTTCAGCAGAATTTTATGAAGTTTTCAAATTATTTGTTTAATTTGAAAATCGCTCTTTCATGATTTGATGCATATAAAGATTTGGTTTTAAAAAAAATAGAAATAAAATAATAGTAAAAAACATTTTTTTATCATAATGATAGTTAGTTAACTTGAGCTAATTGATCCAGCGTTCATAAAGTTGTCATGTGTAGAAGCATCATATGTCCCACTGAAGACAGGAAGGCGATTCAATTTTCAATCTTGTAAGAGGTTCGGAAAAAAATTAATTAAAATCAGTTTTATTGAGAAGAGCATGAGGACCCATTGGGAAAAAATATTACTGCAACACAGCGAAAAGCACTGTAGGAACCGCGGAAAGACAAAACGAGCAGCTCGTCTTTTAGCCACAAAGAATGACACCGTTTCAGTTGATTGTCGCTTTACAAAGTGACATTTAATCAAACATAACAGTGTTTTATTTTCGATTTGTCATTTGGCATTCACCACAATTTTCAAATCCTAAAGCAACTACAGTCTAATGGCAAATACTTTTCTTCCGATAGCTAATATCATAAACATTAAACGAAGAAAAACGAAATATATTTAGATAATAAACGACATGTTTCTTAGATATTTATTATGACGGGGACAACCGTGAAACCGTAATAACTCCTGTCACTAGAAAGTGATAGGTTGAGCGTCATCAGTGGTATGTTGATACCTTCAAAAAATAGATTTCATTCCCTTAAAGACAACTCTATCCTTATTTCAACAGCCTCCCCAAAATCACCCTCGATACTTCAGGTGTTACGCTCATGAATCACCTTTTGCTCTCTGCCACCCCAGGGATCATCCTCGATATGCAGGGGCTACGCTTACTTTCGCTCTCTACACCCCTGAAATATCAAGCACCTTGTGGACGAGACGAGAAAACTAGTTCAATCCTTTGATTTACATCAAAAGAATCTCGCGGTCGCGTAACGGTAAAAAAAAATCTGGCTTTGAAGTCGGGTGTCGTTCCTTTGCAATCTTCAAAGAACAAGCATCAACCTAGTTAACCGCATGTCTTCAATTATGCTATGACATATTCCAGGGGTGTAGAGAGCGAAAGTGAGCGTAATCTCTTGATATCAAGGATGCCCTGTGATGTGATAGCAAAATTTACGGTACGCGGCTAGCTATTTGATTGGTCTCAGGTAAAACAAACCTGACCGATCGCTCGGCTGATACATTTTCTTTGAAGATTACAAAGGAACGACACCCGACTTCAAAGCCAGTACATTTTACCTTTACCCGACCGCGAGATTCTTTTGATGTACGCCTCAGGATCAAACAAATCGTGTTGCCTCGTCCGCAAAATTGCGGACACTTAGCCTTCAATTTTGGAAAGACACATTCAAGGCGTCAGAGAGCGAAAGTGAACGTGACCCCTGGAGTATCGAGGATATCCCGAGCATACCAACATTTTACAGGAGAAATTCCAAAAATAGGATACCTCAGTTTTTCTTGTTTGAAATTCTCAGCGCATCTACAAATTAAAAATAGAAATGAGGCAGATTCTATGAACACTACACTACTAATGATAAGAAAAGTTGTGTTTATGCGGCATATTGTTTATTCTATGGGACAAAAGGAGTATTTCGAAACTTCAAATTTATGCTGAAAATGTCAGTAATGTAATAATTACTAAGCGTTTGGTATCATTTTGAAGTTATCTGATATCGAGTACCCAAATAATTCAAAATCCATTCGATAAATGTTCCATAATTTTGCTATGCATTCAGCAGGAATCCGTGAATAATATGTGTTGAATGTTTTAATTGTTTCCACATTGCTGTATCTTTCTGATCTTTTAGGAAATCGAATTTCAGGCGGTGCTTCGATGTCCTTTAAGATAAAGTCAGCATCTCTACTGATAGTTTCGTATTTTCCAATAAAGTCGTATTTAACGATGCAGGGATGACACAGTGTTGTATACTTTTCCCAGTGGTGGTCAAAACGTTCCGTTTTATCGTCAGTAAGGTATTGCACAAATTCAAAAAATGTGACGTCATCTCCATTCTGAAGAGATTTCAGAGTTGCATTGGACCTATATCGTTTTATAATTTCTTTTCCAGTTTTTCTGAAAGGAACTTTACCCATCAATTTATTTCTGTAAGCTGATAGAATTCTTTCTAATGGGTTCCTCACAATGATATACTTCTTATATTCCGTAAGTATGCGTTTTTGATTTTCAGCAGAATATCCTTTTAGAAATTTCATTTTTGATTGATATTTTTCATGAACATTCCCAAAATTCAATAAACTTGCATTCACCTTTCCTGTAAGTGTTATGAAAATAGTTTTCCATTGTGAACAGGAAATTTTAGGAATATAGCAGAAAACCATTTTGTATTTTTCGTCAACGATCAAATATTGTAAATGGTCCAAGTCTCCTACGTCACCACTCACGTGTTCACATTCCCTTCGAAGATGCTGTACTCTTTTTATATTGTCGCTCTCTGCTGATTTGAAAGTGTCCTTTCCCTCCTAAACAAAAACATGTTTCCTTTATAAATATGGTCATTGAAACAAGTCAAGAAATTCGCATTTATTTATAACTTACTGACGATATCATTACTTATTTAACAACTGACTTACTGATGATATCATTACTTATTTAACAACTGACTTACTGATGAAAATATCAGTCATACAACTGACTTACTGATAACAATTTTTTATACTGGTGATATTATCACTTATTATTTTTTCATAATATTCCTGACAAGCGATTGGCCAAAAGTGCATCACGTATCCACCGTTAAAAACCTATATTGACTTGGACCGCGTGAAGAACTGGATGTTTCTAAAAATAGAATTATGACGTGTCTCAAAACGAACGCACCGTCCCGCTTCCGTAGCTTTTTTGTTGTGTCATTTTTTCAGATTGCTTACATCACTGTTTTCAAAATAATAAAACAATTGTAGCGTCCGAGGTCAATATATTTTTTCTCGGGTTGATAAATCCAAGTAAAGACCTCAGCTAAAGGCTATAATTGAATATTTTTTAACAACTGACTGGTGATATTACCACTTATTTTACAAATGACCCACTGTTGAAAAAATCAGTCATTCAGCCTAAATGCTGATATTATCATTTATTTAACAATTGACCTACTGATGAAAAAATATCAATCATTTAGCCTAAATGGTAATATTATCCCTTATTTAACAACTGACTTTCTGTTGCTATTATCAGTCATTCAGCTTAACTAGTGATATTATCACTTATTGAACAACTGACTTACTGATGAAAATATCAGTCATTTAGCCTAAATGGTAATATTATAACTTATTGAACAACTGACTTACTGATGAAAATATCAGTCATTTAGCCTAAATGGTAATATTATAACTTATTGAACAACTGACTTACTGATGAAAATATCAGTCATTTAGCCTAAATGCTGATATTATCACTTATTTAACAACTGACTTACTGATGAAAATATCAGTCATTCAACCTAACTAGTAATATTATCACTTATTTCACAACTAACTTACTGATGAAAATATCAGTCATTTATCCTTGGTCATTTGAAAGGGAAGGTACCTGAAGGCCTCTTGAGGTGTGTTGTTACTGATCATGAAGGTTCTTTGAGAGTGGGAGCGTTACTAAATTAAAAACAATTGTGACAGAAACGACTGAGATATATTTACTATTGTGTGTGTTTACATATATGTTGTTTCCTACCTCTATTCCGTTGTCATTTGGATATATCCTGTCAGACCACAGCAATCTTTCCAAGTCTGGATAATAATATAAAAAAACATACGTTTTGTAGCCAGTCTGGATAATAATAATAAAAAAGGAGCATACGCTTTGTAGCCAATTGGTGTTAAAGAGTGTTGGTGTTCCCGAAGAAGTTCTCAAACAGCGTAATTTATTTCATAGAGTATTAATTTCAATCGGTTTTTTTTTTATTAATTTGTGACGAAACTATTTTGTTTTTCTTTCGGAATAACAAACATTGCAAGTTCATTAAAATGCATCTCACATGGCGTGAAAAGTCAAGGGAAAAGCGAAATAAAGAAAAATGTAATTCAATTTTACAACCAATAAAAGCAGGACAAAATATTATCAAGGAAAAGGTATATCTCTTCTGCTTCGACGAGTTTATTTCCCAATGAGAAAGCTAAAGAATCAGTAATATTCTGGAAATAACTGTGACAATAGACGTTTCGAGTAACACTTCATAAATAGCTTAATAAAATAAAAACAGAAACATAAACAATACCTACGTTTAAGTGCCGGCCCCTTTTGAAGGTTTAGGAACACGGTGATCAGAAATAACAGAGTAATTAATGCAAGACCAACTTTTGTCGCTTTACTGCGCCGGAGTAGATTCTTCATTACTGTTGGTGTTTGTCTGTTTGCCTGTGGGTAGAAAGTGAAGGTAGTTATACCATGTGGGCCGGTCTATGTGTACCACCGTCGGAGACCCGTGGACGATATCGCTTCACACTTACACAGTGCAATCAACAGTGGGGATCCGACGATGCTTGACTTGGGGCTCTAGTTAAAGCATTAAATCTAGATACCAGATTGTAATGGATTTGTATTACTTTAGTGTCTTGTTTTACATAGGCCCAATAGTAACATTGGACGCTATCAGTTCGATGAGGGAACGTACCATGTATCAACTGATGGAGACAGGCACTGTACATATTGATCGGATGCGTCTCAAATATTCGATAGTGATTTTTCTTTTTAAATGAGAAATACTTTTTTCTATATTATTCATACGAATTTTGTTTTGAATTTTTGCTTTTTCATATTCATCATATTAGGACACATCCAATTGTAGGCCTTGTCCCCTTTTAAATCAATATTATTTTTTATGGGTTTTTGTCGTTACCCCTAAGATCGTAACAACCTAATGACTACATTTAAGTTCACAAGTTTCATATATAGAACACAACAGCAATTTAGCAAACGACATACCTTTGAATTTATTTAGACGTCGGAAGTATTTGAGAGGGGAAATAGACTAACAGAAATAGTGATTCGCAAAATATTAACCCTTATGAATAAATTCATGAAACAAATAAAAAAAAACGTACACCCGCGAAATTCAACAACTATCCAGTACTAGTTCTATAAATTAATAGAATTTAGAGGACGATTTTAATATATTTTAAGCACATTCAATTGAAAATCACGAGCTTGTTTGAAATTGTGCAATGTATGTAATAATTCACTCTATATGTTTACTTTTATTTGCGCCTTTAAAAAAGAGAAAACGTTTTGTAAAAATTCAAGAAAACGCCAAATTTGAATCCGACCCCAATGAATGTGATTCATGTCTGGTCTCTTTATAATTATAATATATATGAATTTTAACTTTACAGTCATCGCTCTAATTTCATAGACTAAAAATCAGGTTCCTACGTATATACCTTAAAGATTAACATCAGGTTCCTATCTTTAGGACTAAACATCAGGTTCCCACCTGTATGACTAAAAATCAGGTTTATACCTGTACAACTTAACATCAGGTTCCTGCCTGTATGACTAAACATCAGGTTCCTACCTGTATGACTAAACATCAGATTCCTACCTTTATGACTAAACATCAGATTCCTACCTTTATGACTAAACATCAGGTTTCTACCTGTATGACTAAACATCATGTTCCTACCTGTATGACTAAACATCAGGTTCCTACCTGTACTACTTAACATCAGGTTCCTATCTGTATGACTTAACATCAGGTTCCTCAAGATTCAAGATTTTTATTTCACTCAGACACACATAATATGTGTAACAAGAGGTCATGTATATATAACATAGTTTGAGTGCATGACAGGCAAACATTCTATACCATAGCATGGTACATAAAAAATATATATACGTGTAGTTACATACAAATAATTCAGTGTTCAACTTATAAAAATGTCACTAGCAAACAAAAGAAAAACTTAAAGAATAGAGACACTAAAGTACTTTTGTTAATTTTTGAACAAATAAGCTTACACTTTTTAACAATTTCATATTAAAGATTGTGAACATTCCTTTCATTTTATGTTGGTTTGGACTTGTATAAAAATAGGCCGGAATATGTTTTTCCATTATTTTGACTAAAGTGTCGTTATTACAAGTATATAAGTAATGATACTCGTCCCCAATACCAGTATTACAAAGTGGGCATATTCTGTCCTGTCTTTGAATTCCCACCCATCTTCCTGTTTCTACTGGAAGCTTAATATTTGAAGTTCTAAATTTGCAGATAATTTTCCTATCTTTTGCGTTTAATCTGATCAAATAGTCTTCTAAACCAAAGCGATATTTAAATGTAGAGTATAATCGTCCTCTGGATGAGGTGTCAATTTTATTAAACCAGGATTGAATAAACTGATCGTGTAATTTATGTATAATTGCAGCTTTTCCTACCTGTATGACTAAACATCAGGTTTCTACCTGTATGACTAAACATCAGATTCCTACCTTTATGACTAAACATCAGGTTCCTTCCTGTATGACTAAACATCAGGTTCCTACCTTTATGACTAAACATCAGGTTTCTACCTGTATGACTAAACATCAGGTTCCTACCTGTATGACTAAACATCAGGTTCCTTCCTGTATGACTTAACATCAGGTTCCTACCTGTATGACTAAACATCAGGTTTCTACCTGTATGACTAAACATCAGATTCCTACCTTTATGACTAAACATCAGGTTCCTTCCTGTATGACTAAACATCAGGTTCCTACCTTTATGACTAAACATCAGGTTTCTACCTGTATGACTAAACATCAGGTTCCTACCTGTATGACTAAACATCAGGTTCCTTCCTGTATGACTTAACATCAGGTTTGTACCTGTATGACTAAACATCAGGTTTCTACCTGTATGACTAAACATCAGATTCCTACCTTTATGACTAAACATCAGGTTCCTTCCTGTATGACTAAACATCAGGTTCCTACCTTTATGACTAAACATCAGGTTTCTACCTGTATGACTAAACATCAGGTTCCTACCTGTATGACTAAACATCAGGTTCCTTCCTGTATGACTTAACATCAGATTTGTACCTATTACCTATCATCAGGTTATTTACTATCTGTATGGTTAACATCATGTTCCTTCCTGATTGAATAAACATCAAGTTCCTACCTGTATATCTAAACATCATGTTCCTTCCTGATTGAATAAACATCAGGTTCCTAAATGAATCACTTAACATCAGGTTCTTAAAACATCAGGTTCCTACCTGTACAACAAAACATCAGATTCCAGACACATTGTATTATATACGCACATTGATTCCTCCGAATCACTCTGCGTAAATCAACGTACACATTCAATTCAGTTTTGGATAAACTTGATGATTAAGTCAGACAAATTTGAAAGCCTAGTTTTGTTAAGTTATTTATTGATCCAAAATCACCCTCATTATCACCGACAACTGATACATTATGTCAATAGAGTCCTCGGTTTTCAATTGGTCAAAATGTCCAACCTGAGCGACGCCATTTTGTAGGATATAGGAGTAACTATACGCCGCGAAGAATTTGATGAGCAGACATCTGGATAAAATGTTGAATTTCTCGTAAAGCAAGAATATTCTATAGGACGCATATGAATTTGTTCACTTTAAAAGTTTTTCTGCATCTGAAACAGCTGGAATTTTGAAGATATTTCGTTTGTTATTTTTTATGAATATCATATATATTATGCTTAATTATTAAGTTATCGACTGTGAAAAGGTTGTATTGATGATTGGTTAAAATACTTAAATCTCGTGACACATCTGATTAAAAGCCAAAAGGCCATGCTAGCGGAAGTAAAACCGCCCAAAAATCAAATAAAACCGAAATGTTTTATGCTACTCAAAGAAAACAGTTACATCGAAATTAGATAAGAAATATATTTAAATCGTTATTATTATACCTCAATCTGATATACTTAACTTTGATTCGTCTTACATGTAATAACATCACGTGATGTTCTTCAATGCGTATATCAAAAAAATGGTAAATCGTCTGCATATGAACCGGAAAAAAAGGTTACCATTTTGTTAGCCACATGTTGCCTTCTCAAAAACTTCAATGTTTACTTCTTTTATTAAGCCTTTCCGGAAGTGTTAAACACCGAGGCCTTCTAATAAAGTGTATTCAAAAAGGTATCTTTTGCCAAATGAAAGTGTATTTTATTCAATACTAAAGGTAAAACATTTTTAAAAAACACAAAAAAAACCCACAAAAGTGACACTTAACGGATGTTTCCGGAGCGGTAGCGCTCGTTGTGATACTTTTTAGAGGCCAAAGAGTGCTCGAAGGAGTTTGAAACTTTCGAGAAGGCAATTTTAGACAAGCCGCGGTTGGGCGGCGACCTTTACGCTGGGATAAGGAAGGAAGACGGCACGTCATTAAAACGCTCGTCATTTAACTCAATGTTGTTACTGATTTAAAGAGAAAGGGATTTGGCAGAATCAACCACCATACAGTGATTTGTGACCAGGATGTGCGAGCACTGTATATACACATACACACACATAAGACACACACATACACATGAATACAGGGCACCTTTATTTTCATCTGTCCAATGAGCAGTTGGTACGCAAACGTAACATGTACTTAGTAGCTACTAGTATATATATGTAAAGTAAGGGAGATAAATCTGCAGAGTAAATTACCTCCGCGTGTTTAGTTTTGACCTTCAAATCGCGTAATTTGCACACAGCATTAATAACCACGTTTACAGTATGTAGGTTTGCCAGAGGGTCTCCAAAACAAAGTGTGTATTGAAATAACATATCTGTGCCGAACGTTTCGCAAATAGACATACACATCTTATAAAACCAGCGTCCTTACAGCAAACCGCCAATTTGCCACCAATTATGCCAACCAAAACGTTACCCGCCGATGATATTGCCGCTGTTTCGGGGAGACAACTCTCCATATCACTCCGATTTGGGGTGATTCATTTTGTAATGTGGGAGAATTTTGTTCTTCCTGTGCAATACATATATATTTACATATATAACAAAGTGAATATATCAAGTCATCTAAATAAGTGTCTGTTGAAGAGTTGATGCAGGTATTTGTATAGCTTACCAAATTATGTAGACTTTTCATTCACATTTTCCTGCAAATCAAGCACAGATACATGTAACATTCAACAAAAGATCGGTTCGAGTTGTGTCACTCTACCAAGTCCAAGTTTATGTATTACCTTAAGCTATATATAGCTCATCAGTTGTGCATATGTACAGTGTAACATGAAGTAAACAAATTAACAACATCAAACATACAAAAAAAAAACCACTCCTAGATGTGCAGTGAGATAGCATTCACTCCTAAGAAATATTGTACTTACTTATGTAGTAACATTTTATGAAAAGGAGATATCAATATATTAACATTTACATGACATTGTCACTTTATAATCTGTTTGAAAGCAGTGTCGTTTATGAGACTTTAAATGATATTCACCACGATGCACAATTCTTATTGTATTAATACAACATCAACTGGAACTACAATATCCAATGTAAACAAACATGACGTGCAAAAATATCGAGAAAATTAATAAAAAAAAACACAACAAATTACAACAAAAAAGACAAAGATATGCAAACTCGTACAAAATGCATATCGATTGAAACTATTGCAACATTCATACAAATTATCAGATAATCGCCTGCTACATTACACTGATCTAACCATGACAGTATCAAACGATTTTCCGAATGCTTCATTGAATGTGCCCTACATTTTAGATTGATGAATTCTCATCTAACGAGGATAAAAATTTAACAAAAATAGTTATCTCACGCTCTGTCGCCTAGGTCAAACACTTCAAACGCTATAACGTGTCCAACAACAACGGCTTCCTCGGGTTCTGACGACATGTCAAATAACGAGACTGTTTTAACATCTACCAGTTATAGCCAGATTTCCATGCAATCATCAAATAAATTAACGCATGGATTCCTAACAAATTCGAACTTTTTTCACTGCACATTCAACTTCCAAAATTAACTCCCTCGTGAAGGTCAAGGTCGGGTACGGTGTTGATGGTATTTATCCATGCGCGAAATTTATTCCGGGGTTAAAATCAGAACAATGTTAAATATCACTTTCAGCTCAGATTTCTATTTATAGATAACTGTTCGAATGTTCGATTCGGAAACCAAACAACAGTCTAGGACTTGTCTATTAGGCGTCACAGGGCTCTTGACGTCAATTTGGCTTCCGTCTTAGCCATATCGTTGTAATTAAGGTGCAGACTGAGATAAACGTACCTATCGCAAATTTCAAACGTTACACGTCCACAGTTGCGTCGAAGGTTCTTTAAAATGGATGAGATTTAATTTAGTCTGTTTAATACAATGTATCCAACCGATATTCTAGACACCATAAAGTCTGGCCAAGCCAAGCAATTTAAATTCCTTCAAGAGCACCAAATCTGCGGCATAGAGTATTAGGCAGATCTTTACGCCGACAACTTCCACACTGCTCCAAAATTCTTGCAAAATGGCAGAATGATTCTTAATGAACAAATTAAACAATGATGCCGATAAAATTCCAATTGTAAGAGCACAGGTTGAAGGTTTTTTTTTCTATCGCCCCTAAGATCGCGCACATGTTACAAGTGTACTATTAATCCTAACAGCTTTCTACAAAGTATATCCCTACCAATAGAGTCGTACGCCTGTTTCAATACTACGAAGTAACAATATGTCAGCTTTCTTTGAAAAGTGTAAAGAGGCAGTTTATCATGCTACGCCCGGGCATGAACTAATTTTGTGAATCATTGACGGGACTGTTTCTTTCTGCCCATTTCGACAGTCGATTTTTTAATACCAAATAAATGTACTAACATAAAACAAAACGGTTTGTTGATTTAGGTTTCGGGCAGCAAATGTCTTGTTGGATAGCCCAAAAAGGTGTACTCGAGTCGAAAAGTCTGTCTTTTTGGTTCACAACAAAAAATATGTTACTTTAAAACAACATGTATGTCCTGTTTTTCATAACCACAACAAATCTGTATTTGATAATCTAGGCTTCAGATTGTTATGTTCAGAGCCACTGTTGATGCACTTTATCCGAGTGGATAAGGCGTCTGACATTCTGCTACCACTAGCCATCCACCACTGGATCGCGGGTCCGAGGCCTACATTGGGCAGTTTCCAGATTCTCACCGCAGGTCAGTTTATATTCAAACCGTTTATTGCAGAGCTGTCTTTCCTGAATGCGCATCGTTCACTTGATCAGGAATGTGGCTTATTGTTTATTCTCACGTTATTCTGTACACCTGTCCTGGATTAGCACTATACATGCATAAGCCTCCTTTATCGTGAGGGTATGACCGGAAACGAAACAATGAACCGGTGCGGTGAGACTCTTAAATGCCTAACCTGAAAATTATATTATTGATTGTCTAAAACCGGCTTGATATTCTGGAGTATCCAAGCCAATGTATTGTTGAAGAAAAGTGTATGACATTCAAGAACATCACACGTAAAAGAAGCTATCATTTTAGGAGTGTGTTTTTAGTTTGAAATTATCGTTCAGCGAGTACCCAAATAATTCATAATCTGGTCGATAAATGTTCCATAATTTTGTTATATATTCAGCTGGAATCTGTGAATAAAACTTCTCAAAAATGTTCATTGTTTCAATAGTGTGATATGTTTCCGACCTTTGAGGAAATCGAATATTAGGAGGTGCTCCAAGGTCTCTTAAGATGAAATTAGCATCTCTATAAATACTTTCGTATTTGCCGATAAAGTCGTACTTAATAATACAGGGGCTGCAAAGAGTCGTATATCTCTTCCAATGGCTGTTGAAATTTTCGGGATCTTCGTCGGTGACGAATTTCACAAATTCAAAAAACGTCACGTTATAATCATCCTTTGCAAGAAATTCCTGTGTCATATTTGACCTGTACCGTTCCAGAATAGTTTCCCTAATTGTTTGAAATTGCCGAGCTTTTCCTTTTCTTTCAATCTTATTCCTGTAGGCTGATAAAAGTCTCTCTAATGGGTTCCTGACGATCATAGACTTCTTATACTCCTTCAGTATACGTTTTCTTCTTTCATAAGGATAATTGCTTAACAAATTTATTACTGAATTGAATCGGAAATCATGAACTTTCTCAATACTTAACCTGCTAGAATTTACCTTTCCCGTCAAAGTTATGAAGATGGACTTCCACTGTGAACATGCTATTTTAGGAATATAACAAAATAACGTTTTGTATTTGTCGTCAACAATCAAATTACTCAGACGATCCAATTTCGTTAAGTCGTCACTGTACCGTTTACATTCCTGACGGAGATGCCAAACTCTCTTTATGTTGTCTGTTACTGCCGATTTATCTGTCTGAAATACATATAAAAGCAAAGGTTCTTAAATAATGCTTAAAGTTTTAAAAGTTTGATTAAATAAGTTGAGATAGTTGGCTTTTTAACAGATTAAATCTATGGGGGGTTTTCTGGGGGTTTTCTTGTGGTGGGAGGGTTAATTTTGCATTTTTGTCATATTGATTAATAGTTAAAAATTTCAATAAATTTAAATTAAACACACTTAATTGCATAAATAAAAGGTGATGATTCAGACGAATGCAATAGCAGAAAACATGCATTTAGGACCAGGTACCTGTATGTTGCGATGAGGCAAGGGAGTAAACATCCCTTCGTCGTGTGATGGTCCAAAATGTGCTACAGCTGTAATAGAAGTCCTGTGTGACATTAAGATTAGTCAAAAGTGTGTTGATAGTCAGTCAAGTGTGACATTGTAATTAGCCAGTAGAGTTTTGATAGTCAGTCCAGTGTGACATTGTGATAAGTCAGCAGTGTGTTGATAGTCAGAATTTGTGTGACATTGTAACAAGTCAGTAGTGTGTTGATAGTCAGTCCGGTGTGACATTGTGATAAGTCAGTAGTGTGTTTATAGTCAGTCCTGTGTGACATTGTGATTAGTCAGTGTTTGTTTATATTCAGTATGGTGTGACATTGTGATAAGTCAGTAGTGTGTTGATAGTCAGTCCTATGTGACATTATGATTAGCCAGTAGTGTGTTGATAGTCAGTGCAGTGTGACATCGTGATTAGTCAGTAGTGTGTTGATAGTCAGTCCTGTGTGACATTGTGATAAGTAAGTAGTGTGTTGATAGTCAGTACGGTGTGCCATCGTGATTAGTCAGTAGTGTGTTGATAGGCCGTCCTGTGTGACATTGTGATAAGTCAGTAGTGTGTCGATAGTCAGTCCTGTGTGACATTGTTATAAGTCAGTAGTTTGTTGATAGTCAGTCCTGTGTGACATTATGATGAGTCAGATGTGTATTGCTAGTCAGTCCTGTGTGACACTTTGATTAGTCAGTAGTGTGTTGATAGTCAGTCCTGTGTGACATTATGATAAGTCAGATGTGTATTGCTAGTCAGTCCTGTGTGACATTTTGATTAGTCAGTAGTGTGTTGATAGTCAGTACGGTGTGACATCGTGATTAGTCAGTAGTGTGTTGATAGTCAGTCCTGTGTGACATTGTGATAAGGCAGTAGTGTGTTGATAGTCAGTCCTGTGTGACATTGTGATAAGTCAGTAGTGTGTTGATAGTCAGTCCAGTGTGACATTGTGATAAGTCAGTAGTGTGTTTATAGTCAGTCCTGTGTGACATTGTGATAAGTAAGTAGTGTGTTGATAGTCAGTCCTGTGTGACATTTTGATTAGTCAGTAGGGTGTTGATAGTCAGTACGGTGTGACATCGTGATTAGTCAGGAGTGTGTTGATAGTCAGTCCTGTGTGACAATATGATAAGTCAGATGTGTATTGCTAGTCAGTCCAGTGTGACATTATGATTTGTCAGATGTGTATTGCTAGTCAGTCCAGTGTGACATTATGATAAGTCAGTAGTGTGTTGATAGTCAGTCCTGTGTGACATTGTGATTAGTCAGTGTTTGTTTATATTCAGTCCGGTGTGACATTGTGATAAGTCAGTAGTGTGTTGATAGTCAGTCGTGTGTGACAATATGATAAGTCAGATGTGTATTGCTAGTCAGTCCAGTGCGACATTATGATAAGTCAGTAGTGTGTTGATAGTCAGTCCAGTGTGACATTGTGATAAGTCAGTAGTGTGTTGATAGTCAGTCCTGAGTGACATTGTGATTACCCAGTAGTGTGTTGATAGTCAGTGCAGTGTGACATCGTGATTAGTCAGTAGTGTGTTGGTAGTCCGTCCAGTGTGACATTGTGATTGGCCAGTAGTGTATTGATAGTCAGTCCTGTGTTACATTGTGATTAGCCAGTAGTGTGCTGATAGTCAGTGCAGTGTGACATCGTGATTAGTCAGTTGTGTGTTGATAGTCAGTCCAGTGTTACAATGTGATAAGTCAGATGTGAGTTGATATTCAGTGCAGTGTGACATCGTGATTAGTCAGTAGTGTGATTATAGTCAGTCCTGTGTGACATTGTGATAAGTCAGTAATGTGTTGATAGTCAGGCCTGTGTGACATTGTGATAAGCCAGTAATGTGTTGATAGTCAGTCCTGTGTGACATTGTGATAAGTCAGTAGTGTGTTGATAGTCAGTCCAGTGTGACATTGTGATAAGTCAGTAGTGTGTTGATAGTCAGTCCTGTGTGACATTGTGATAAGTCAGTAGTGTGTTGATAGTCAGTCCTGTGTGACATTGTGATAAGTCAGTAGTGTGTTGATAGTCAGTCCTGTGTGACATTGTGATAAGTCAGTAGTGTGTTGATAGTCAGTCCTGTGTGACATTGTGATAAGTCAGTAGTGTGTTGATAGTCAGTCCTGTGTGACATTGTGATAAGTCAGTAGTGTGTTGATAGTCAGTCCTGTGTGACATTGTGATAAGTCAGTAGTGTGTTGATAGTCAGTCCTGTGTGACATTGTGATAAGTCAGTAGTGTGTTGATAGTCAGTCCTGTGTGACATTGTGATAAGTCAGTAGTGTGTTGATAGTCAGTCCTGTGTGACATTGTGATAAGTCAGTAGTGTGTTGATAGTCAGTCCTGTGTGACATTGTGATAAGTCAGTAGTGTGTTGATAGTCAGTCCTGTGTGACATTGTGATAAGTCAGTAGTGTGTTGATAGTCAGTCCTGTGTGACATTGTGATAAGTCAGTAGTGTGTTGATAGTCAGTCCTGTGTGACATTGTGATAAGTCAGTAGTGTGTTGATAGTCAGTCCTGTGTGACATTGTGATAAGTCAGTAGTGTGTTGATAGTCAGTCCTGTGTGACATTGTGATAAGTCAGTAGTGTGTTGATAGTCAGTCCTGTGTGACATTGTGATAAGTCAGTAGTGTGTTGATAGTCAGTCCTGTGTGACATTGTGATAAGTCAGTAGTGTGTTGATAGTCAGTCCTGTGTGACATTGTGATAAGTCAGTAGTGTGTTGATAGTCAGTCCTGTGTGACATTGTGATAAGTCAGTAGTGTGTTGATAGTCAGTCCTGTGTGACATTGTGATAAGTCAGTAGTGTGTTGATAGTCAGTCCTGTGTGACATTGTGATAAGTCAGTAGTGTGTTGATAGTCAGTCCTGTGTGACATTGTGATAAGTCAGTAGTGTGTTGATAGTCAGTCCTGTGTGACATTATGATAAGTCAGATGTGTATTGCTAGTCAGTCCAGTGTGACATTATGATTAGTCAGATGTGTATTGCTAGTCAGTCCAGTGTGACATTATGATAAGTCAGTAGTTTGTTGATAGTCAGTCCTGTGTGACATTGTGATAAGTCAGTAGTGTGTTGATAGTCAGTCCTGTGTGACATTGTGATTAGTCAGTGTTTGTTTATATTCAGTACGGTGTGACATTGTGATAAGTCAGTAGTGTGTTGTTACTCAGTCCTGTGGAAGGTACATGTATCTTTGTCGATATTTCCGTTTAGCACAGGGAGTGATGATACCGGTATGGGACTCTAATCCCCAATACTTAAATAAAAGCATTAAAGAAACAAAATGGCCATAATGATTGAAATATTGTCAAAACAGTTGTCTTTACCTCTCTGTCAAGTCTGGTGTTATTTTCAGAAAGATTCTTATCACGACGTTCAGCTCCTTCCTTGTGGGAACCAACTACAAAAAAAAACAGCGACATCTTTATTAGGTTGGTGTATCGAAATTTCGATGTTGGCGTTCCGAATCATTGCTATTTTACAGTAAGCAGGTGCCTTTAGTGTTACATTTTACCATTGCTTTTGTCAAAATGGAATAATGACATGGAATTGATGGTCGTTTGAATAAAACGTGTATAGTTGCAGTGCGTAATACAAGATAGACTTACTCTGTATAAATCTAAAACACAGTTAAATGGAAACAAAGATAATACATACTTTTTAATGTCGGCATATTTCCCAGCTTAATGAGCATTGCGGCAATATTTAACAGGGAAAACAATGCAAGGCCAACTAACGTCGTTTTACTGCATCGGTGTAGATTGTACATGATGGTTGTGATATGTCTGCATGTAGAAAAGTAAGGTATCCGTAGATTATCTTACGTAGTGTATATCTCATTCCGCTTGGGGTGAAACGACAAATATCTTTTGGCATTCTGTGTTTTTTATTTTTGTTATTTATAGAAATCAAAGATAACAGAAAGTCCTAGAGCCAACTCATCAGAGGTTCATCAGGGGATATGTATTGATCGCCAAAGATGTATGTCATATGTGCCTTACCTATCAGAAGGAGATCGCAACCAAAACAAGAAAATATTGATGCAAAGCATCAATTCGCCGGCTAAACCCTGCTTTATTACACCAGCAACTCTCATATGTAAAATGTGGGATATATTGAGCGATGGTGAAAAATGAAAACTTTAAAAAGGACAATTAGGTACCTGAAGATATCTTTGTGTATTCATCTTCTGGGTATTTTTTTGTGTTTTGTTTTGTATTTTTGGTGGTATGTATCTTGATATGTTAATTATAAAATTGTTGTCATATTGCTACTGTAGCAGTTTGACGGTCAGCGATACGATAACACGCTACCCATGAAACTGCTACAGTAGCGATTAGTCACACGCTTTGAAACGATTCAAATCACCGCATAGCCCTATATGGAAGCAATGTACCGTAAGCGCAAATAAAAACAATGTCAACTTTAAAATAGAGCTATAAAATACATCTACAAAACATCAGAAACCGCACAACAAAGAATTAATTTTAACAGTGTTTTACATTTTCCTATTCCGGAATAGACATTTGTTCTTCGACGAAATGCAGAAAATCCACGAGAGAAGTCGTTGCTTCATCTGAAGCATAAGTTTAGCCTCCATTCTTTTTTATTCAGCACTAAATAATTCATTTGCTCATAGCGTTTGTTCTATAGAGTATATCTGCATTTTTCAAGAGTTGGACAAAAACCATTTGGTATAGAATGTATCATTGCTGCTCCTCTTGGGGAGTATGTTTGAACGGAAATGTAATTAATAACATCTTAAATGTTAAAATGACACTGTGCCCAGAGAGAATGCAACGTGTTGGAGTCAAAATAAAACTGGAAGCTGCAGGTATCTTCACAGGTTTAAGACGCGGAACAAGACATGCTATTTTATATAAAGAGACTAACCTATTTAAGCGTGGCGTAAGAAGACATCTGTATCAAAATATTGCTTTTTTAACATATTTTTTATTATGAAATTATGTGTACCAATCTATTCTGGCATATGCAAATACTAACAATGAAACCGATAATTTTTGTAACAATAGACTATTCGATGTGCAAATAGCAAGAACCCATCTTTAAAATACTGAATTTATTTCCCGAAACTTATGTCTAAATGGACCAATCTAACGTGTCCGTTTCCCACAATGACATCAATTAAAAGCCCTAAAACAAACTGTTAGTAATACTCACCTGATAGTAATATTCATATCCAAAGATACTAGTGTTTTTTAATATCATTATTACAGAAAAGTCAATATGACCCTACTCAAATTAAGAACTTTTTTCTGTAGGACTGACAAAGAATTGATGATATTTTAAATAAATTTACTCTGGAGGGGATAAAGTGATTCATTTTGGATACTAGACGCCTTTTTATTAGATATATCTCATTTTCTTACATGTACAAATCCGCCCCATCCCCATACCGTCTTATCAAGTCAATTAGAAATAGATTCGCCGGCTCTTGTCGGCTAATAAACGTAAAGTTGGATGTGCTCTACCTTTCCTTAAACATGTTATTTTTTTGTATATAATTGTTGTTTCCTATGTTGGTCTGCTTGTCAACTGTCTTGGGTTTCCAGCTGAGAATGGTACGCATATGTGTGTATGAGAATGGTACACATATGTGTGTATGGTCATTTTGTCCGTGCTGGCCTCCAGCGCACATCTGACCGGCTTACCGTTACTTGTAGTGACCCTCTTTTTAATTACAAGTACATGTATACCAATTGGTAGACAAAAAAACCTAATATTAAATCATATCAATAATTAATTAATTATTCATATAATTGTATATAAGATTGTACATGTATCTGCTATCATATGATATGATATGTATTTTCTGTTTATGTTATAGGGAGAGGGCTTTTATAGGTTTTGTCTGTTTGCCCAATTCCATTTGTATGCAAGATCTGTACAATAATGAATTCTAAAATGAAATGCTGGAATGATAATCTTTTGTCTTTCATCCTATTATTTCGGTCAGAACTACGACGACAATAGTCATGCATGTTTTGTGAATATTTGGCGTAAGAATACATTTCATGACGTCACAATCGCCTAAAATATATCATTTAATTTCATGTCCCTGTTCACGAATATATTCTTTGAGTTAAAATAGTCAAACACAATGACGAACTCTGGGGGTATATACGGTGTGATTGGAGAGTACACGAGAGAAAAAATAAACATATTTACGAGATCTGTAATCCTTAATAGGTATTTTTCGGTACTGGCGTAATGGATTTTGACATTAGAAAATGGTTTGTCGTCCTGAGGCTGAATACAAAAAAAACCCTACAACATCAATGAATTGACGAACATGAAAATGTGTGTTGTCCCGAGGACTGAATACAAAAAGCCTACAACATCAGTTACTTGTTGAACATGAAAATGTGTGTTGTCCCGAGGGCTGAATACAAAAAGCCTACAACATCAGTTGATTTACGAACATTTGGTGGCTAAATATATGTCACTCATTTGCATTCTTTATTTAATGTTTTTAAAATACTGGAGGAAGAATGAAGCAACAATGATGTGATCAATGAAGCAGAAGTGAGAAATGTATACGGAAAATTCATACAGTAATTGACAACTACTTCAGATGCAGATCTCTTTGAATTTTGAGCAAAATTTGTATTCTTCTGTTTTATTTTAAAGACTGCTCTATTTGTACAGGTAAATGTAGTTATTGGATGATTTGCATATTAAGAAACTATTTTTAATTGTAATTAGCTGATTGAAAGGTTATTTTGACTATTTAATTCTTTTTGACGTGCTAGTTTATGTTGTTTAAGTGGGATAACGTTATATGAATATCAAGTGATTTTTAAATTATTTAAATTACCGAACACACATTTTCTACGGACGATAGAGAGAACTGCAAACGTGTCGATATATGATATCAGTATAAAACTGTTTACTCAGAATAAGTACGTCTATCAAATGTATGTGACATGGCGTAAGATACATATGTACATATTGTAAAATACATACACGAATTGAAGGACGGATAGCAAATGAAAATAACGCATAAATTGACAGACGAAAGACATACGAAAAATGACGCACGGATTGATGGACGGAAAACAACAAAAATGACGCACGGATTGACAGACGGATGGCAAATGTAAAATGACACAAAATAGACCAAAGGAGAGCAAACGAAAAATGACGCACGGATTGACAGACGAGAGCAAACGAAAAATAGCACATGGATTGACAGACGAGAGCAAACGAAAAATAGCACATGGATTGACAGTAGGGGAACAAACAAAAATGCCACCCGAATTGACGGACGGAGAACAAACATATACAGTGACGTCGTTCACAAAGTCTAATAAGTGATGTCAATTTCCCATCGGGCTCCATGTTGATATACCTTTCTTCAATCAACTTCCCTTATTTCGTTTTCCATATTTTTTAATAACGTTATGGTCCTTTTTGCTGTCGACAGTATTTTCGGATAAGCTTGTCTTAATACACACTGAGTGTTTTGAAGGGGAATAACTGTACATTATTAGTTTTTTTAATCATGTGGCTTTTATTTCTTACAGCGGTTTAAAAATATAATTCACTACCATAGTTTAAAAAACATATAAGTTGGCTTTATTATTTCGTACAAACACAATGTCCTTTGCTAGACAAACTGAAATACATGTCGCTATCACAAACCTTGACATCGACAGAGAAAACAACGGGTGTGACGAGTGTTGTTTTTGTTAGAATGTTAGAACTTGGCAGAATGTATATACAGGTATGTATATGTATATGTTTAATTATTCTCAACATATTTTTCTTCTTAAGGTCATTGGAGTGTATTGATAAACGGAAACAGGAACTACATCCCTAGTTGAAAATCCAATGTAGGGAGACAATATCACAATTTCCGCAAATTCTAATGTTTAACATTAAACTGATGAATATTGTATGTTTATTATTGACAGAACAGTGTGTTCTCTCAATATTAAAGTATTTCAAAGCAATCCAGGCATTAATTCAGGTGGGTTTTTTATCAATGAGTCACATGTGTCCATTTTTCTGTACTTCAGGAAACCGGCTACCTATTTCACTACTGTGAAGTTTTTCAAGAACGATAACTCTTACCTGCAATTACTATGTGTATTAATTTATTATAAAATGTCAATCTTTATATCGTGTATAGAGAATTAATTTTACACAATTTAAGCATTTATTAAATTGATATACATTAATGCAATACTAATATATGTCAGTATCATTTTTTATTGACATTATTTTGTAAAAATATTGTCTTTCATGTTTTTTTTCAAAATTCACTCCTTTTTACATAAATTTCCATTTCAAATCCTTAAAATTCTGACAACCTATATTTTTTTTGTAGCAGAAAATTTTCTTTGCTTTAAAGCAATATAACTACAAAATTTGAGGAAATTCTACTGAGGAATGGCGACACAATCCTATTACCTTAAGATATGACTCACTTGTTTTATAGAAAAAACACAGATAGAAAAAATCGCAAAGGAAAACCCGATTCAACAGAAACGTTCATTTTGAATATACAACTTATACAAATCCCTCTTGTTTGCCTGGATGTTAGTGTGTGGGATGTCTCACTGTGGGAGGAAACCGGGGTACCAGGTGAAATTCCACGTGGTCGGGCAGGTGACCCCATACCTTTTCACGTCTGTTCGGGGAATCGAACCCCGGTCGCCTTAGTGAAAG